TTCCTAGACCCTAGATCCCTGATCCAGGTATTTTAAATAATTAAAATAAATAGAATAATTAAAATGGGAAGTATTTTAATTATTTTAATTATTTCAATTCTCGGTGCCTTTAAATAACTAAAATAATTAAAATAAGCTGATTTTAATTATTTTAATTATTTCAATTATTTCAATTATTTTAAATTTTCAAATCCCTGGGATTGGGTTCTACTGATATCTATTCAATTATTTTAATTATTGTAATTATTTCAATTCTTGGTGCCTTCAAATAATTAAAATAATTAAAATAATTAAAATAATTAAAATACCTTCCATTCCTAGACCCTAAATCCCTGATCCAGGAATTTTAAATAATTAAAATAATTAAAACAATTTAAATAATTTAAATAATTGGTATTTTAATTATTTTAACTATTTCAATTCTCGGGGCCTTTAAATAATTAAAATAATTAAAATGGGTGGTATCTTAATTATTTTAATTATTTCAATTCTCGGGGCCTTTAAGTAATTAAAATAATTAAAATAAGTTGGCTTTAATTATTTTAATTGTTTCAATTATTTCAATTATTTTATTGGGTTCTACTGATATTTTTTCAATTATTTTAATTATTTTAATTATTTAATTTTTTTAATTCTTGGTGCCTCCAAATAATTAAAATAATTAAAATAATTAGAATAATTAAATATATAGGCCAGGGATAGCGTTAAATATACCCTAAAAGAGTCTCTCTCATATATATATATATATATATATGGGCGCGTGGTCATTCCCCCCCCTATATTTCAGCAGTATAGGGCGCGTGGTCATTCCCCCACCCCTATATTTCAGCATCTTCGGTCTTGCGCCCAATAGAATACAGTGCGAAGGGTGCACAGTCATGCCCCACTCTACGAAGTATAGTATAATTATAAACCCATATATTTCAAGATACATGAAAGAAAATCTGGCACATACACGGTTCACAATATATAACATACAATATCTAGGAAATGTGTAGTATTCCGTGCCATACAATGATATAAGACAGAATGTAACCTAGCATGATAGAATACTGCTTTATTTCCGAATAGCATTCGCCAGTATATCACATCATTTTTGATTTGCAAAATACTCGATGTAACGGCTGATGCTTTACACTGATATAGTACCGTCAGGTACCATATAACATAATCCATGCTAGAATATGTTATGCTCCAATACAGCACGCATTAAGTTGGCATGGTACAGTAAACATTTTGATCTGATGCAACCTGCAAAGATAAGATAACTGACACCCAGATACATGCTCTATATGACATAGTACAGTCTACGACCATCAGATTTAGCGTGGTATGTCTTAATCTGTGGTCAGTATGAGGTTCATAATGAATCATACCAAGATGTTTATCAAAGTGTAACTTACTGTGAGGTGATATGAAGCGGTATAGAGTGAGATGATCTAATATCTAACCAAGCCTTCGGTACCATATGTAATATGCTCTCATGTTGTATAGCCCATTATGATCTGTGTCTAACTCAGAATAACCCATGCATCAAAAGATGGTACAACACAATGCTTGGAATAATATCGTAGCAGTAGCAGACTAACATATGCCGCACAGCATGATAGGATATCATTTCTTGGGCTTATGTATGATGTCAAGTATGTAGAGCGCAACTTGTACCAAAATTGCGCATAAGACACCTGTATAATAAAGCATAGTGTAGGAAAGAAGAGTATAGAGAACTGTAAAAGTTTAGTGTAGCACACAATGTAGTATACAGCCTAGAATATAGCGTATACAATACCGCATAGTATGCCGCACAGCATGATAGGATATCATTTCTTGGGCTTATATATGATGTCAACTATGTAGAAAGCAACTTGTAACAAAATTACGCATAAGACACCTGTATAGTAAAGCATAGCGTAGGAAAGAAGGGTATAGTGGACTGTAAAAGTTTAGTGTAGTACACAATGTAATATATAGGCTAGAATATAGCGTATACTATAGAGCATAGTACATGTCATGGTATGTATTATAGTGTCTCCTCGAGCTCATGGTCTAGTCTTTCGTACAGCACAAGTGCATTGTATAGCAACGTCTATGGTCTATAGTATAGTCTCCAAAAAAATCCGTAGTATAGTCTTATGGCCTACAGTATAGTCTGCAATATCGGTCTGTGTTATAGCCTAGAGCCGACAGCATAGGTTACAGTAGATACCAGTTCGGTTTGGTATATAGTTGAAAGTACGTGAAAATATATAGATGGTGCATAGTATTTTACAGTCGTATCCATTTGCAAAATCTTCAGCCACAGTGGGATAGGGAGAACAGTATATGTTGAAATATATGTAAGATAAGACAACACAGTTCAATATGATCTCAAGGAATAGGTCATGAATTACGGATCTTTATGGCTTTCGGCGCTTTGACTCTTGACGACTTGGTGAAGCGAACTGGGCATCAATGTGTTGCGCTGTCAGTTCTCACACTCGTAACGCCAAAGGCTTGCTCATACTCTTGTACATATATATATATATACACATGTACATAGATCGCTCTGCTTGGAACAACTGTCAGTTTACGTAACATTTAACCTGTAGCGGGGTATAGGCAGGGGTGAGTTTCGAAATACAGCGTATGTTCCGAAACACAAGCGCCGGCCACAACCCAGTAACCCAGTAACCCATTAACCCATTGACCCCTTGATCCATTCACCCATTAACCCATTATCTCATTCATTCTGGCCGAATGAACTTGCCTTAACCAGTTAACCCTTTAACACATTAATCCAATATATATATTCAGAGGTTTTTCTTCGGTTCTTTAGCAACATATCTATTCATTCTATATCTTACGGGTCGTTCGACTCTCAAACTCATATTGTCGTTCATATTAAATAGAATCCCAATAATACAATATTGCTATAAATATCCTTATAGATAAGATTATATATATGAAAATTTTTAGTTATATATATATATATATATATATCTATTCGTTTCTGAGAAGGATGATAGCTAGGTTCATATATATATATACACATTATAAGATTCGATTTGCTTGTTCCGATTCAAAATATTTGCAGATAATATTAATATATTTTTGAAGAAAATGAATATTCTTCCTATATATTTGAAAACTTTTTCATTTATACGAATTAGAAAAGAAGCAAAGTTCTATATGTCAATATGCATAGGTATATATCTCAGCAGATTCCTATAAAGATGATATAGAATATATTTTGATTCATATTTTGATATTGATAACCTCACAGAACCAAAAAATATGAATGATAAGGAAAAATATATATTTTTAATTTAAAGCTATATATGATCCTATTCATATATTTGAATTTGAATTTCATATTTCAATTATTTTTAAAATACGTGCTTTCGAATATACATTCAGTTCTGAATTCAAGAAGTCTTTATCTAATTAGATTGCCTTCCCTGACCTTCTTCTAAAGATTAATTTCTTTCGTCTTATAAGCGAAATTCAACATTGAGAATCTATAATTTGATTTCTCATATAGAGAATGATAAATAAGAAATCAAGCAAATTGAAGAGCAAGCAAAAAATTATGTCAAATATGAGCAGTATACTCTTCTTATCAAGAATGAAGTAATATTTCTCTACTTTATTGATGATATCCTTGTCCTTATAGATAATTATGAAAATTCTCTATCTCGCTAAAAGATATAAATTTTTATAAAAGCCTATCTCGAGTAATATTTTCGGTATATACATATATATATAAGAATATCTGAAAATAGTTTTTATTAATTGAATTTTGATATGAAAAAAATATATATATATATATCATATAAAATGAAAATATATGAATCTATATATATATATATATATTCAATTTATATATATATATATATATATATATATATATATATATATCTGCTCGCCCCCCCCCCCCAAAGATCTACATTTTCCTGGTTCTTGAGATACGGAGCGCACGAAATATTAAAATGCTCAAAAAATTCATTGTCTCTTCACCGCTCTCCGCTGAGGCTCTGACGTGTTGGCAGCTGTTAGAAAAGCTGCACTCAGAAACTTTCCACTGGCGGCCACTGCAGGTTTAAGATCAGATCAGAAAAGATTGCTTATGGCTTATGGCACAGCACAGCAGGAAACTGTCAATGCCAGGCCAGAGCAGCTTCAAAGCCGGTTAAAAGGGTGGGTTGGGCGGGGTGCCTCGGCACCTATCCATGCCCCGGTGACTACATTTCGGCCTGAAGTGAGAACTTGACACAGGAGGAAAAGCAGCGAGACAGTTGAACCTCAACTGCATGTCCTGTGTCTCATGCTAGACGCAAAGCCATAGAATATTCCACCGCTCGAACGACAATAGCCCTGTCATTGTCTCTTCACCGCTCTCCGCTGAGGCTCTGACGTGTTGGAAGCTGTTAAGCCCGCACACACAAAAAGCTGCACTCAGAAAATTTCCACTGGCGGCCACTGCGGGTTAGAGATCAGCTCAGAAAAGATTGCTTGTGACTTATGGCACAGCACAGCAGGAAACTGTCACTGCCAGGCCAGAGCAGCTTCAAAGCCGATCACCCCGCACTGGCACGAAGTGCCGCAGGCGAAGAATCCAGCGCAGCGCAGAAGCAACAATATCAGAAAAGCCAGAAATCGCGAGTGGAGCAGCTCACGAGCCTTGCCTGCACGAAACAGCAACACGGCCTCTCCTACAGCCGGTTGGCGACGCAGCCCTTGCCGATAAGGACAGCCGACGCCACTGCATGCCCGGTGACGCACAGGTAGGCGATAGTGGGCGCCAGTGCTTGACGAAAGGAAAAGTGAAACGAAGACTCTCAGCAGGTCCGCTTTCTCTCAGTGCGCTTTGTCTTGCTCACGGTGCACCTCCGGGAGTGTTTGCCTCGCGAGGGATTGTCAGCAGGATTCGCTGGGGATGAACACGATTCTGGGCAGGATGTCGGCAGCCATCACGTGCGCGGCCACTGAGCGCAGTGGTGTTTGCCAGCATGTCGGCATACCTATTTCAGCCCTAATAGGTAGCCATGCGCCTCCAGCACGCCCGAATGCGCTTTCCACTGTGATTTCGCAGAGATAACAGTGCGAAAGTCATGCTTTGAAAGCGGCAAGCGATGAGGCTTGCCCAGCCTTGGCAACTCCCCGGGGTCATCAGGATCAGCTGTAAGACGAACGTAGTCCCCACGTCGCTCGGCAAGCCTGCATACCTCAGCCGCCTCGGAAACGTTGCACTTGCTTACCGACACCCCGAAGCCGAAGTCTTTGGAGGCATCGGTGGCAACCAAAAGGGGCAGAGGGGCCCGATCAAGCCTGATGGGCAAAAGCGGCGCGAGCAACAGCGTGAGCAGCATCTCGTCCTGAACCTTGCTTGGAACATCGCGGACCTGACCGGCAGGCTGACTGCGGACAAAGCCATAAATGGAGTCGTAGATGCTGAACAAAGGTCTCTGCATGATAGCGAACCATTCCCACACTCCCAGGCAAGCATGAAGAGCACGAGGAGAAGCGTTACGCCTGTGTTAGAAGGTCCAAAGTTCTGCAAACAGACGTTGTCAGCTTCGTCCCGTTGGGCTCCACCTTAACCGGATTGTTCGAAAGGTCGCAGCCCAGAGCCGTCACGCTAGAAGCCAAGGAAACGTCCTTCTTTGTGTTTCTGAGCACGTGGTGGTCCTCAAAGGAAGCATCCAACCGCTGCAGGGTTGCAGCGCCCGTTTGCCTGCTTCTGTGCACCAGCACCAGGTCGTCTGTAGCCACGAAGCAGGTTTCCTTTTGATTACCTGGGCTGTCGTGATCCAGCGATAATATGCTTTCCTCCAGGATCCCAGCATGCTGGCAGATGGCGATCATGGAGTCTTGCGCGACTGCTGACGATCAAGAGAAACCCATGTGCCACATGCGGTGCGCAGGGAAGAGCGTCTTCTTTGGTCTGAACTAGGAGGCCTCCACACCATCGCAGAAACCAAGCAGCTCCTCCCGCGTGACTCCCCGGGACTGCAGTTCACTCACTTGAATGGGCGGCTGGCAGAACCATGGTCGCAGCGCTCCTGGCACCTCGAGAGTATCAAAGTAGGTGGAGGCGTCGCGTTTGGAGAAGAACACCTCGGAGCGGGGCTCGATCTCAAGATCCAGAAACGACGTTGGACTAGTCAAGCGGCGCGGCTTAAGTGGTTTAGCAGCCCAGTCAGACAGCCTGGATATATCCCAGACTTTACGTTGCGCACCGTTTGGCTTGGAAACAGCAAAAATGCTTCCAAATCGCCTGGGCCTCAGGGAGCAGTCGAAGTTTCCGGCATCTCAGGTCACGGATGCAAAGGCGGACATATTCGTGCCTGTCTGCTTGGTTGACGGCCGCACTGCCATTGTCCAAAGCAGCTGCACCCGGAAAGATTCTAGCTACATCGGAAATGTTTTCAACCAGGTCAGCCGATATCAAGGAGCAGGGGTCACACGTCCCGGCTTCTGCCGGCAAGTCTACGTCTTCGCTGCGGATCTTTTCGTAGTTAAGTGAAGTGGAAGCCTCGTAAGCATTGAAGGCTCCAGGCCACGCGAGTCCCATCGCTAGGCCTACATCCAGACGGCACCAAAACCGCACAACCTGCCGACAAATGTGTCTGTATGCTTCAGTTTGCGCAATTATAGGACGTCTTGAAGTCGGGAACTAAGGATTGTATTCCTTGACACCAGCATTCAAGCAGTTCAGTGCAGCGATGCACATGTTGCTGACCTCGAGGCAGGCAGCAGTTTCGAGGTGCTCGACGACAATATCCTGCGGCCACTGCTCCAAAACAGGCAGTGGCAGCAGCTCCCTGCTCCGCGGCCTTTCCAGCGCTGGAGCACTTCTCAGCCAGTCGCAGCAGAAGCGGCTGACGGTGGAGTGCTCTGTTGCTCGAGCAGCGCTTTGAGGGTACTGCAGTACGTGGTAGAAGCTCTTGCAGCCTTCACCGCGGGAGCACAGGTACGCGCTGTCGGCTTTAACACCGTGGAAAGCTTTCTGAGCAGGCAATGCTTGATTGCCCTCCATTTGTTTCTCGCCTGTCGAGCAGCTGAACTCCGGCTGGTGCAGGCCATCTTAATCCTTTCCCTTTGGGCGGCAAGGACAGCAGCAGACGAAACAAACCCACCCATAGCGGGGAGCACATTGGTGCCTCGGCACCTATCCATGCCCCGGTGACTATATTTCGGTCTCAAGTGAGAACTTGACACAGGAGGAAAAGCAGCGAGACAGTTGAACCTCAACTGCATGTCCTATGTCTCATGCTAGACGAAAAGCCAGAGAATATTCCTTCGCTCGAACGATAATACCCCTGTCAAAAATGTCCCACTCTGAAACCCACGAAATACTATAATGCTCAAAGCATTCCAAAAATTCCAAAATCCTGGCATCTATGGCCAGGCCAGTGGCAAATTCCTGAAAATTTTAATTCTTCTTGAATATAATAGTATTTCGTAAACTTTCAAGCAGTGAAAAACTGATCTAATATTTTAGGAGGTTCAGGTCACGAAATATTATAATGCTCAAAAAATATCAAATTTCCCAATCCTGAAAATCACGAATTACTATGATATTCAAAATTCCGAAAAAAATCAGAATTCTGGTATCTATGGCCAGCCCGGAAGCAGATTCCTTAAAAATTCAGAATTTTTTAGCATTACAGTGATTCGTGAATTTTCAGGCAATGAAAAATTGATTGCTTGAATATTACAGTATTTTGAATAATTGCCACGTCACGAAATATTATTATGCTCATTTTATGGAAGCTTTCAAACATTGACTAAATATTTTTTTGAGCAATATAGTATTTCGTGAGTTTCAAGCCACGAATTACTGCTATGCTCAAATTTTGGGAGCTTTGAGATATTGATCAAATATTTTTTTGAATATTAAGGTATTTTATGAGATTAAAGTCACGAAATTTTATGTTTTTTTAAAAAAAAAATTTCATTGCCTCAAAGCTCACGAAATACTGCTATGCTTTGAAAACTCTAAATATCGAAGGAATCTGCCACGAACTGATCATAGATGCCAGAATCTTGGAACTTTTCTATATTGCTGCGTGAGTTTCAGGAAAGGGAAGATTGGAATTTATTGGCCATTTCAATATTTTGAATGAAGTTCAGGCCACGAAATATTGCCATGCTCAAATCTCGTGATAATTGAAATTTGAAAAAATTGAATTTTCTTGAATATTATAGTATTTTGTAAAAATCAGGCCACGAAATAATATTATATTCAAGATTTATGAGCTTTGGGGCAGTGAAAAAAATTGGAGCATTATAGCATTTTCAAGAAATAAAACTACGAAATATTGAAATGCTCAAATAAAATCAATAGTTTATTGAAGTCAAATTTTGAAAAGAACACGCCCCCGGATTGACCACGAACATCAGAATTTAGCATTTGATTTTTTTCCCCAAACAGGTACGGTTTGGGGTTCTCTCCTCAGAAAAAAGGTGGGCCGCGGTGGGTTGGATGGCTGGGCCGCGGAAAACTGGATGGGCTCCCATTGGGCTCCCTTCATGTTTCATTTCTGGGCTCCTGGGTTGGACGGGTGGGACGCGGCGAAGGACCTGGGCTCCCCTTCACTTCCCTTCATGTTTCCTTTCTAGGCTCCTGGGTTGGACGGGTGGGCCGCGGCGAAGGACCTGGGCTCCCATTCACTTCCCTTCATGTTTCCTTTCTGGGCGGGGTTGGACGGGTGGGCCGCGGCAAAAGACCTGGGCTTTATTGGGCTCCCTTCATATTTCCTTTCTGGGCTCCTGGGTTGGAGCGGCGAAGGACCTGGGCTCCCATTCACTTCCCTTCATGTTTCCTTTCTGGGCGGGGTTGGACGGGTGGGCCGCGGCAAAGGACCTGGGCTTTATTGGGCTCCCTTCATGTTTCCTTTCTGGGCTCCTGGGTTGGACGGGTGGGTCGCGGCGAAGGACCTGGGCTCCCATTCACTTCCCTTCATGTTTCCTTTCTGGGCGGGGTTGGACGGGTGGGCCGCGCCAAAAGACCTGAACTCCATTGGGCTTTTCATATTTCCTTCCTTTCTGGGCTCCTGAGTTGGACTCTCGTTGGGCTCCCTTCATGATTCCTTTTTGGGCTCCTGGGTTGGACGCGTGGGCCACGGCGAAGGACCTGGGCTCCCATTCAGTTCCCTTCATATTTCCTTTCTGGGTTCCTGGGTTGGACGGGTGGGCCGCGGCAAAGAACCTGGGCTATCATTCGGTTCCGTTCATGTTTCCTTCCTGGGCTCCTGGTTTGGACGGGCGGGCTGCGGCAAAGGACCTGGGCTCCCATTGGGCTCCCTTCATGTTTCCTTTCTGGGCTGCTGGGTTGGACCTGGACTCCCGTTGGGCTCCCTCCATATTTCCTTGGGCCGCGGCAATCCCGTTTACCTCCCTTCATGTTTCTGTTCTGGGCTCCTGGATTGGATGGGTGGGCCGCGGCAAACGGATTGGGCTACCAATTGGGTTGCTTTCCTGTTTCCTTTCTGGGCTCCTGGGTTGGACGGGCGGGCCGCAGCAGAGGGCCTGAGCTCCCGCTGGTTCCCTTTAATGTTTCCTTTCTGGGCGCCTGGTCTGCTATCCTGTCTTGCAAGGCAGCAATGCTGTAAGAGTTGTGTATTTTTCCGTGCGTGGTTTCTGCTGCAGCAAGATCCTGGGGACGACGTTTTTCGCTCGGCTTGCGGCAAAATTGTCAATGGTTCCGTGTAAGGAAAATATTTGTTTGCGATGTAAGCCGACTCCTTCGCTTTTCTTTCTGCCCTGTTTGTGCGGCAAAGTTGCCCGTCTTACCCGTGCGACAGCCGACCGATCCGTATACCAACCTGCTTCGTGCTTCTTCCGCAATCATCTACAGCAAAAGTCAGGTATCCTGTTTTGCAAAGCACCAATGTTGTAACAGTTAGTTGATCGAATACGACGTTCCTTGTCCTTGTATAGGTAACATGTCTGATTGTGTAGCTTAATCTGCCAATGACATGATCTTTGGCTCAAGTAATGAGAAAAGAGGTACGCTTGCAGCTTGTGTTCCTCTTCGGGTTAGGCTTGCCTTTTGGGTTTCCTTGCCTTGCCAGGCGATCCTACCCCAATATCGTTGTGCTGCTGTTGAGGGTCGGATTAACTCAGTTGCGGGAAAGTTATATGTGTGTGTGTGTTCTCCGTGCGTGGTTTCTGCGGAAGTAAGATCCTGTGGACGAAGTTCTTCGTTCGGTCTGTGGAAAAACTCGTCAGTGGTTCCGTTATCTATTTTGCCTTGTAAGCCGACACACCCCTGTGCGGTCTTCTTTTCGCCAAAATTGCACGGCAAAGTTCCCACTTTTCCCCGTGCGACAGCCAACCGATCCGTAAACCAAACTGTTTTGTGCTTCTTCCACAGACGTCTACAGCAGAGGCCAAGTATCCGGTATCCTGTGTTGCAAGGCAGCAATGTTGTAACAGTTGCGGGAAGGTTGTGAGTTCTTCCGTGCGTGGTTTCTGCGGCAGCAAGATCATGTGGACGACGTTCTTCGTTTTGTCTGCGGAAAAAAACGTCAATGGTTCCGTGTAAAGGGGAACTTGTGTGTTTCTCCATGCGTGGTTTCTGCGGCAGCAAGATCCTGTGGACGACGTTCTTCGTTTTGTCGGCGGAAAAAATCGTCAACGGTTTCGTATAAAGAAAGATTTTTATTTGCGACGTAAGCCGACAAACCCCGTTGCGTTTCTTTTTCCCAGGTTCGCGCGGCAAAGTTCCTACTTTTTCCCGTATGGCAGCCAACCGATCTGTATACCAACCTCTTTCGTGCTTCTTCCACAAACGTCTACAGCAGAGGCCACATATCCTGTCTCGCACAACGGCAATGTTGCGTGTTTTTTTCCGTGCGTGGTTTCTGCGGTAGCA